CGGGAATTGATCAGGGATCGGGACCGGAACCGGGATCGGGACCGGGATCGGAACCGGGAATTGATCCGGGATCGGAACCGGGATCGGGAATTGATCCGGGATCGGGACCGGGATGGGGATCGGAACCGGGACCGGGATCGGAACCGGAATCGGGAGCGGGAATTGATCCGGGATCGGGACCGGAACCGGGATCGGGACCGGGATCGGAACCGGGAATTGATTCGGGATCGGAACCGGGAGCTGGACCGGAACAGGGATCAGGACCGGGAATTGATCCGGGATCGGGATCGGGATCGGAACCGGGAATGGATTCCGGGAATGGGATCGGGAATCAGAACCGGGATCGGGACCGGGATCGCGAATGGGATCGGGAATCAGAACGGGAATGGGAACCGGGAATGGATCCGGGAATGGGATCGGAACCGGGAATCAGAACCGGGATCAGGATCGGGAATCAGAACCGGGAATGGAGCCGGGACCGGGAATGGAATCGGGATCGGGACCGGAACCGGGATCGGGATCGGGGATGGAACCGGGAACCGGGACCGGGATTGGATCGGGGATCGGTACCGGGAGCGAGGATGGAACCCGGATCGGGGCCGGTACCGGGGATGGACCCGGGAATGGGAACCGAGACCGGCACCGGGAAATCGGGACCGGGAACCGGGGATGGAGCGCGGGGGCGGCACCGAGAGCGGGCCCGGGGGCGGCTCCGGTACCGGGGCTGGATCCCGGTACCGGGAACGGGGCTGGATCCCGGTACCGGGGGGGCCGATCCCAAATCCCGGTACCGGAGGGGGGTGGGGGGGTTCGAACAAAGCCGCATCCCGGTCCCCCCACCCCCTCCCAAAATCCCGGCCCCAAATTCCCGGGTTTTCCCCCCCAAATTCCCATTTTTCCCCCAAAATCCCCGTTTTCCCCCCAAAATCCCGGTTTTTCCCCCCAAAATTCCCGTTTTTCCCCCCCAAATTCCCGTTTTTCCTCCCCAAATCCCCGGTGCCCCCCCCCCAAATTCCCGGTGCCCCCCCGGTACTCACGAGGCCGCGCGGCCGCCGCAG